AATACCTGCTGCGTTTGAGCATGGTAACCGCAAGAGAACCATGCCATTTCCAGCATGCAGCTTAATCGCGCTATGAGATGGGCCAAGCGAATAAGATAGGAAGCGGGCCGGCAGACGACGAACAGGATAGCTTCAACGACATGATCTCAAAATCAAAAGTACAATAGTGGAACACTTTCGCCCTATGCCAATTTCCCTTGGTCGTGTAACATTGGTTGAGGCTCGTTCCTCTCTCACAAAATCACCCCGCAGTAAAGACAACTTGGACCTTTTTTAACTCGTCTGAATTTTGCCTTTTTTTCATTTTCCTGCTTTCATTACGCCTAGTTCCCTCTCTCATTCTGTCGCTCCGCTTCTCCTCGTCCTCGCCTCATCCCTCTCCCTCCGAACCACCCAGCATCCAACTTCATGATGCATCACGAACCGGACGCAAAGATGTTCGATCCGGCGACGCAGAAGAAGACGGTCGACTCCGGGGCTCCGGCCTCTGACATCGAAGACACCTCCGTCAGCTCGGCAAAAGACATTCTGGAAAATGAGGGCGAGGACCCCGTGCTCGCAATGAAAATGCACCTCGTCAATGACGTATGAACCAACCAAAAAAAAAACCAAAAGCTTCCAGAGTCTGGGCTCACGAGTCTCTCACCCAGACACGTCCGCCGCCAACACAGCTCTCAATGCTGCCAAACCGCTTAACTATAGAAACTAACCAAACCAGGCAAACGATGAAATTGGCTGGACAAACTTCCACTGGAAGCTCTTCGTCCTCAATGGCTTCGGCTACGCCGTCGACTCGCTCATCGCCTTGGTCCAGTCCGTCACCAACGCCGGTGCGATGCTCGAACTCGGCAAGCCGTCCACCTACTCGAACGCCGGCACCGTCTCGCTCTACGTGGGCCTGCTCATCGGAGCGATTTTCTGGGGCTTCGGCGCGGATATCATTGGACGGAGGATCGCGTTCAACGTTACGCTGCTCATCACGTCGCTCGCGACAATCGTCTCGGGTGCGAGCCCCAATATCGAATCGTGGGGCTTCTTCACCGCGCTATCGGCGTTCGGAGCTGGCGGTAACCTGGTGCTCGATCCGACGGTCTTTCTTGAATTCCTGCCGAGTAATAAGCAGTGGACAGTCACGGCGCTTGCATTGTGGTGGGGTTTCGGACAGGCTTTGGTGGGCTTCATTGCGTGGGGATTCTTGAGTAAGATGCGATGGGTCTCTCGGCTTTGCAACTGATCAGTAAGATGCTGACTGCTTCCTAGCCCAGGAGCGATGGAATTGCACCGAGGGTATGGACTGTAACTGGTCCAACAACCCCGGCTGGCGCTACGTCTCCTTCACTTCGGGTGCCTTCGTCTTCGTCGCGTCTGTTGCGCGAGTGACCGTCATGCGCCTGCAGGAGACGCCAAAGTACCTCCTCAGCGTCGGCCGCGATGAAGACCTGGTGCGCAACTATCAAAAGATGGCGCAAAAGTACAACCGACCCTGTTCGCTCACGCTGGAGAAGTTGACGGCGTGCGGCCAGATCAAGAACGCCGGCCAGAGCAGAAACAACTTCAAGTTTGTGCTTCGCGAGTTGGGCGCTCACGTCAAGGGTCTCTTTTACACCAAAAGAATGACGCTTAGCACTGTATTGGTTTGGCTGTCATGGACGCTGATCGGTCTGGCTTATCCCCTGTTCTACGTCTTCCTGCCGTAAGTTCGCAAGAGACTTTGAAGAGTGCGATAGAGGTTGACCGAGAGTGATAGATCATATCTTGCCTCGAGAGTGCCGGACAGCACCGAGACACCATTCGAGACGTGGCGAAACTACACGTTGACCAATATTTCTGGCATTCCCGGTCCGATCATCGCTGGTTACCTTGCCAATCTTCCTCGCATCGGCCGCAAGTACACAATGGCCATCGGCGCTTTGCTCTCAATGGCGTTCTTCTTCGGTTACACAGCAGTGTCGACCGCTGACCAGAACATCGGTCTCAGTTGCGCGATTGGTGAGTAATTCGATTCCAAGCCTTCTCAAACTTGAAAGCATTTCCAGCTAACATCCGGATTTAGCCTGTGCAATCAATATCTACTACGGTACACTCTACGCCTACACCGTCGAGGTTTTCCCCTCAGCCCATCGCGCCACGGGTAACGGTATCGCCGTCGCCTTCAACCGTCTCATGGGTATCGTGTCTGCTTTCGTGGCGAGCAGCGGCAACACCGCCACGTCGGTTCCTTTGTATGTCTGCGCGGCACTATTCGGAGTCATGGCCGGCGTATCCGCCCTGTTTCCCTTTGAGCCATATGGAAAGAGAAGCTCCTAGACTGGCCAGAAGATTTGATTTTCACGTCTGGCTGGCAGTGTCGCGTCGAGAAAAACATAGCCTCCTGGCATTTGAATTACCTCGACTTTACCTGTCTATTGGGTATGTCCTCGTAACAGCGATACGGGGAGGAGTGAAGAGGGAAAGTATTCCTCTAATTCTGGTACCCCATTCGCATCTTGCAAAAGAACGCCGCATCGAGGGGTTGAGGGACTTGACACCTAGCCTCGACGGATTCCTCGGTTTCAACACTCATTATTGCGATTCTAGAGAGAATCTCGAACAGTACACACAAGAGGCACGACTCGTATTGCGGAAGAACGTTATTGTGCGGCTGGACGTGTTATTGATAGTCGAGGTATTAGAAAGTTCGATTGCTCCATTACAAATTAAGATACCCCCGATCAAGTCCATCTATTTCCTATCTCTACTTTGCCTACGTGTATCTTAGCTGGTAAGGTACTTCGGCGGTTGACAACTACCTATATAGATATGCTTGCAGATGGAGTTGCGCCAACGACAGATGATCAAATATTCAGCCTCAACATCTATGAGTAACAGATGACAAAGAATCATCTCAGTGCCTTACGAGAGGTGACTGATGCTCGCCACCGTTCACCTTGGAATACCACACCTTCGGCTCGGCCTTCCGCAGAGCTCGAGGCTCTCGGTGTCGCAGGAAGTGGAGCAATATACGTGCAAGATCAAACATCGGCTACTCTTGAATCTTGTATGAAAGCAGATGAATTTACAGGAACATGGAAGAAGTATGCGTCCTTATGCCTCGTTAGACATACCGATCGCAGAACCCAAAGCTAAGATCTCAAGATTACGGCAGCATAAGCGACTGCTCACGATAGTAGCCGCCAACCCCATTCCATCGTCACCACTTGTAGTGTGGTCAGGGAACTTTACTCGTGCCACTTGCTTATTACTCAGACATCGGAAACATGGCAAGTCAATGGATTTGCGGGGCAACTGACCATAACTTTCCGTAGGGGGATAATTCTGCCGATCCCGTTAGACCTGGGCTCGCCTCGAAGTGTCTCCTTGCTAAGTTTACTTTCAGATCGGACTGAAGCCTCGAAACCAGTCGCGCAACATCCTGCTCAACTTGCACGTGTTCATCGGCTGCTAGCGGGAGAGCGATGGCCGCCAGCGGGCAGCGTACTTTACTGACCACCACATACCGCCCATGTCCTTCTTGGCACTCCAGCTAGTCGTCCAAACCTTGGGCAGATCGCCCCGGGGCTCATCTAACTTCCTAATCCAGACCAGAAACTCCAGCCGTTGGAAGCAGTTTTAGGCGGTTTGGCGGGCCGGGAGATCGAAGCTCGGCGCCAGACTTGGCCTCAGCTCTCCGCGCGCGGTTCACGCTCCCACCAGCCTTACAATGCATTGATGAAATGTTTATGGCCCCTCCTATGCCCCCTCTCAACGTGATCGTTCTCGTCAACTTTAATCAGGGTCCAATGCCAGCCTCATTATTCACCATCAGTCCAGACACTCTTGGCGGTATTGGATTCTGTATTTCCCATCCAGGTGATTCGTTCCACGGATTGTTGCATTGCGACGCCGTGTCAACTTGCTCGTGCCGATTGAAAGGCTAGCCCTTTTCAGACTTTTGGATCGGCGAAGATAATGGACTTTGGAGCCGAGGTCCGTCTGAATAAAATCTGACAAACAAAACACTTCTTGTCAAACAATTTAAGCTTTGTATTTTGAACATGAGCTGTCACAGGATGGGCAGACTGTTGAGTTTGGGTCAAAAGAGGCTCTTTGCGGGAGAGGCGGGATAGAGTCCCAACTAGTTTTGGTTCTGTATATAAAGCGGGAAGTCAAGACAAATGCGGGGTTAAACCTGTCAGCCATCAAGAGGAAACTTATTCTATGGTGGCCAGCGATCTACTTTGATGGAAATATGGAAATAAGTCTAACCCACGTAGTACTAGAGAGTATCATTAACGGAAATCATATTGATCCACATAAGAGCAGTTCTTGACACCGGCGATCATGGCCGTGTCATCGCGCCGAACGAAACGGAACATGTGGCTCAACGATCCCCAACTACCAAGACAAGTCGACATTTGCCGAGCCTCTGAGAAGGAACCCCTGCCCCCTGTCTCGATCAAGGCAGATGTTTCGTCAAAGATGAGATGGGTGGGAGGTCCGCGGGACTATTCTTAGCCTCTCAGTTGTGCCGCAAGCAGCACCACCAGAACAGACTTCGTCGCATATGAAATCTTGACACTAAGATCTCCAAGTTCGCGTATAGTTCCTACATGTAAGTATGGTTGGCTGTGCTGTTAGCATACTCAGTTGATAGGGATGCCGTGACTCGTTCTCGGGGGATCGCAAATTGGTCCCACGCCGAACCCCTCTTCGATGTCTCCATCGCCGTGCAGCCTTGGCCTTTGAGACTTCTTGTTGAAACTTGAAAGTGAAAGTATATGCCGTTCTGATCGAAGCAAGAGGCTGTCTTAGTGATGGGCCACGAGCGTCGAACGTTCACATGCATTGAACGGTACTGAAAGCAACATACTCTAACTCCTGTCTTCTATGAAATTAACGTGGCTGATGCCTATAAGTATTGGATGCAGAGCCGCTCCTAGGTCTGAGTGCTGCCGTGATTGACAGATCATACAAACACAACTTTCAGGATATCGAACAAGACTTGGCTAGGAATATTCAACATGCTCGTCTCTTCCCTCAAAACCATCGTTACCCTTAGTGTTGCATTCTATGCCACCGCTGCGCTGGCGGCTCCCAACGTGCAGATGGGGGCTGATGTTCAAGAATTATCCGAGGTAAGTTGATGGAATCTATGAGTTGTAACAAAGTCGGATGCTAACGGGTCTGGGCAACTAGAGGAACGAGGCTCTTGTGAGTTCTCCCTGACCTGGAATGTACCCAGCTCAAGCCCTTTATTGGTGCTCGCAACTGACTAGGTTAACCACAGGAACAACCTGACTTTGACGCCGTCGCTGTATGTTCTGACGCAAAGCACATACTATGTTAGAGCACTGGCTGACTTCACCATCACAGGGACTCGGCGATACCATCGAGGCCCGTGGCAAGCCACCTCGCCGCCCCAACAATAACAATAACAATAATAACCGGAGGCCCGGCCGCAATGGAAAGCCCAGACGTCCCCCAAAATAAAGGAGATGGGCACGCACAAGTATCATGCTTCTGAGTAGGCCTCACTGGTAGCTAACGCAGTATGATTCGGGCTGGTCTCAATGAACGTCACTAGTCAATGGTCTTGGTGGACATGCTGCTATCATGGGGTGGGTGGAGAGAGAGAATTGGGGAGCTTTGACGCCACGAAGTGATTGATACAAGGTGGATTTTGTGTATATATGCTTGAGAAAGAAATTGAAGAGAGCGTTCTTCATCAAAGTTGAGAATGTTGGTGTAGGTATGGCTAAGAACGGCATCGATGCGGCCCCTCTTGACAGGTAAGTAAAGTACCTCGATAGAATGAAAGCCCAGCACACCTCACGAAGAAACTCTCATAATAACCAAAACTATGTGCATATATGTAGGATATCTGGATCTCTTGTTTCTACACTCGTGGGCTACCTATGTCACCATCACTGCATGTATTAGACGCAATTATCGACATGAACAGATCACAACCAACACCTATCGGAACACTCGGTCACCACCTTACTCTTACGTTCTATCGCATATAGCCACGGAAGCCTGGCTATCTCGATGACAACACAAATTTGACCCTGGCCCACGTTGACACACTGGCGAGTGTCCCCCGCATCCGTAACACCCAAGGCCTGTCACACAATCGCCTCTGCCAGGATCACAACGGTCCCCTTGTCCTCTCGCTCTTTTTCGAAGCCATGGTTGCTATCATGTGTTAGCCAACTGCGACGTTTAATTTCGTGTAATCTTGAGTCAGGGGGTGGGTTCCCTACAGTCGGATCTTCTAACCAGGATGTGTGATATTCCGCTTCGAGACTCAATTTTGATACGAGGTTTTTCGGGTCCGCTGTTGGTGCAGCAGATACATGGGTGATTGTTGCCGCAACAATAAGAAGAGTTGAGAGCGCCTTCATTTCTCTAGGTGGGGAATTCGAGATGAGCCGATAGCAGCAAGTCGTTAAGTTCTTGTTCCAATGATAAACAGTACATATATCTAGAGCAATTCCGTGAGACTGATTATTTGTAGTAATGCAAGTCCTCTCTGAGTACATAAGACATTCAGTGATCCAGTGGGACCTGAAGTTATATGGCGACGCGCTCAAGCCTCGAGCGTGTACAACGAAGTCTTGCTTCTGGTCACAGCGTGCGTCATCCGAACTACTCTGTTGCAGCCCATCACTTATCAACAGTGCAGTGATGTATTGCCGTTAGAATTGAAGTTCAGAATTATGGCCGATTGGCCGTTGTATGAGCATTGACGCTGTGGTTGTCGGGGACCATCAGACACGTCTCCCCGATCTAGGCATATGGAGTGGGAACAGCACGACTAGGCACGTACTCGACGCTAGAGAAACCTGCCCTAGATGACTAAAGGCGTATGATTTCCAGACGTACAATTGCTACTACTAAAAGTCTGCCACCAAAGGCTTCACTGATGCACCGACGTAGCTCCATGAGGAAGAGGTGTAAGGAAGAGGTGTATGCATCTTGTGATGAACCATGACTAAACAACTTCGAGCCAGTGGCAACACCGAGCTAAGCATCTGTTATGAAAACATGATTGCCGATTGATAAACCTAGTTTGGTAAGACGACGGCGAAAGTGTCGCTGCATGCAAGCTGGTAGGCTCAGAAGCATCATGCACGCTCGCTGCTGCTAGTGATCCCCCGTCGGCGATCAAAAGTTCGGGTGACGCGCATATCAGCCGAAATCTTGTCGCTGAGACCCTAAGCCACTGTCATGAGGTGGTCGGCAACCGAGACAAGGAAGAAATGGCAGACCTTGGGCTTTGGAAATGCCTGGGTATGCAACGAGGAGGTGTCACGGCTTTTGATGATCAGCCTGTAAACGAGAGTTAGAGAAATAAGTACAGACGTACAATCGTGATCCCACGATTCTTCACTATTACGCCTCACACCGTTTCAGAGCGAAAGCCTGCTCATCCTAGTTCCACAACGCTTCGAGAAATGAATGATTGAGCAGAACATCCGTTGCAGGTAATTTGCAGAACTCTATGGCATGACGCACAGCTACGATGCATCAGGGCATATTGCAAGGAAAGATGCAAAAGACCGCTACGCCCTTACAGGCAGGTATGCCGCCACAGAATCCCTGGCAGGAAACTGAACCCAGATGCCATCGTGAAGTGGGGTGAACCCCTGATCTAACAAACACAGAGCCCCAGTTGAAAAGCAAGAGAGCGGATAAGTCTTCGGGTTATTCTTGACCGAGGATGAACATGTGCCTTTTGATTCATAGGACCGGCTAAGTTCTGATCCCATATCAGTCACAAATTTCCTAAATGCATAATTGACCAAGATTTCGAATTCCTTGAGGACTGGACCTTGCACTTGGCCTAGCAGTAAGATCAATGGCATATCAAAGAGGTTTCCGCAATTATGAAAGCCCGTGGAGGCTAATAATTTCGGACAACCTACGAAAGTCACTCGATAAGTATGCTTTGCAACATGAAGACGATACTCCTCGTTCAAATTGAAGGAGACATTGCCCTTCTCTTTTCTTTTTTTGAATTAACTGCTTAACACTAGCAAGCCCTGTTCAACTCCATCTTCCAGTCGTGTATGGTCAGTCAGTTGAGATGAGTTGCCATCGGACAATCGAAACAACCCCTATCGACAGAAACAATGCCATGTTTGGCCATATAAGCTAGCCAATAAGCTAATGTTAGTCAAGACATGAGGCTGAATCAGCCAAGGCGCGCGTTACTCAGAATCACATCATGCTTGTCTGCATGTGAACCGTACCATGTGGCTTCCGGGTTTAAGAAGGAAGGTGAGCCGCAGGATCGATCATCTATCAAGGCTGTCGACGGATACTCCCGGTCATGTAGCAAAGAGGGGTAAAACATCCTAGGTTCCGTCGGCTATCAATCTAAGGGGCCTTTCTCGGTGATCTACGTCAGCCAATGCCGGCGGGATGGTCTTGCAGCATGCAAGTCATGGCCCTGTACCTCTCGACGACACCCCGAGTTTGAAATAGCGTTGATCGAATGGAGCATCTCAAAGTGCATTCGCGTGGCTTGGCTGTCATTCCGGTGCCTTGGAGTTGGGTCACTGCCCCTTGAAGTGTCAAAAAGCTTAGCCTTAGACATCGCTAGTACATATAACGTTAAGGTAGTGGGATGTAAGAAGCGGCTCTAGAAGTTTCCTAAGTAGATACGCACTGGTGAGTAGATATTTATAACAAACACCCCGTTGAAACTTGTTCTCGCAACTGTGCCTGGTTCAAGTTGGCGATCTATTCTGACTCATCTTATCTCAAGTTTGGGTTTGTGGCTCTATTCCGGGATGAAATTCTAGTGAGGAGAATTCAGTTGCGGCATCAAGTGTTTTTGGGCAATTTCAAAGGAAACACGAAATGACTACAAACGAGTATTTCAGAACCAATTGAGTCGACGTGCCGTGCCTGCTGGGAGCTTTGCTGACGTGAAGCCTCTCGCTCAAACGGGCCTGTCCGGCTATGAGAACTCCCGTCTGGGGTCGTGGTGTGGGCGGAAGGTCGACAAGGCCCCAGTCTCCCGAGTCCCGCGGTTAACCAAGGATTCTCACCCGAACTGTAAACCCAAGTGGGACCACGAGAGTGGAAATTTGGAGAAGAGGAGATGGCGGGGTCGCGAAAGACCCATCAGTTTAGTTCATGGAGTAAAATCCTTGCTTCGAGACAACCGTCCGGTTTTCGTGCTCGGTCACAGTCCGAATCCTAGACGCGGGGCGGTGTGGAGGGCGTGGAGGGCCGAGTGAAGGCCGACTCCGGAATCTTCCCCCAGGTATCCGTATCTTAGTCAAGAAAAAGTGCGGGATCTGGGAAAACCCGGGGATTGGCCGGGTGAGGAGTGGGAATCGCGAGATTGGCTTTCATATTGTCGGAAGTAAAATGTGGTCGGCGTTAATGCTGACACGGAGGAAGTTGGCCATACGATACTTGGCAGAGTTGAACTTTTCTCTTCTCCACTCACTTTTGCAGATTCTTCTTCCTGTGATTTGGGGAATTACTCCAATTCTGCCCCCTTTTTGCAGCTTGAGTCTTGCGGCGTGCCCCGTGGCTGGAATGCTCAATCTCTTAGTGCGGACTTCACTCAGACTTCACAATAGTGGACAAGATGGTTGTGTGTTCAGTGGTAAATTTGCTTGATTCGCTCGATGCGTTTCAATTCATTATGGCATTAATCCATTCTATCGACATAAGTCTTGCCATATACCGTGATTGACACGAGCCTCGAAAAGCATGGCAAGATTGTGGTTTTAATGTACAATACGCTCTTTGGGGTATCAAACCGTATGGTTTCAACTTCACATAATAACTCGCAGCGCTTAGACAAGGTATCTGAAACCCTTGCCCAGCCTGTGCGAAGCCTCAGCCTCCTCCGCGCTGGTGTTGTTGGCGGTATCAGCCGCCTCGCTCTGCTCAAGCTCCTTGTTCAGCTTGTCAAGAATGACCTTGAAGATGTAGCAACCAACAATGGTGACACCGAACATGGCAGTAACGATACCGTAGCTCTTGCGGAAGCCATTCTCCTTGAGGTTCCAGACGTACGATCCGGCGACGTTACCAAGCTGGGAGAAGGCGTTGATCATGGCGATGGCAACGGCACGCTTGGCAGGGGGACGCGGGAATGAGGATGAAATCCAGGAGTAGAAGACGATGAAGCCGGCGTACGAGCTGGCCTGAAGGAAGAGAGCGACGTAGCGCGCGGCGACGTTGAGGGTCGACATGGAGATGACGAAACCGATGAGACCGACGCAGATAGGGCCGACAATGTGCCAGAAGCGCTCCTGAGTGCGATCGGCGTGCCAGGCGTTGATGAGGGAGATAAGGCAGGAGAAGGCCCAGGGAGGGGAGCTCATAAGCAGGGTGGGAACGTAGCCGAAGCCCAAGGTCTGGGTAAGGGTAGGGAAGAAGGCGTTGAAGGAGAGACCGACGACGTAGGCGGTAAAGGTCAGCATCATGATGTAGATCTTGACGTCCTTGACGGCCATGATGAGACCGTCAAGAGGGCCCATGTCATCCGAGTCGGCGTCAGCCTCACCGACATCCTCAGTCATACGCAGCTGGGCGACGTAGAGCTCCTCCTCGGTGAAGCCGCGGGAGTTGGTGGGCAAGTCGGGAAGGATGAAGGCGGCGGAGATGGCGACACCCATGGTGACGGCACCCTCGATCCAGAAGAGCCAGCGCCAGGCAGCGTGGCCGAGGACGCCCTGCATGTTGGAAAGGACACCAGCGCCGATGAGGGCGGAGAAGGCGTTGGAGATGAGGTTGCCGCAGAAAAGGATGGCGTTGCGGGTGGTGAGCTCGCGGCGGGTGTACCACTTTGACAGGATCATGAGGGCACCGGGCAGGAAGGCGGCCTCGATGAAGCCCAAGCAGAAACGGGTGGCGACCATGCCTCCAAAGTTTGTGGTGACGCCGGAGAGGGTTGAGATCATGCCCCAAATCAACATGGCGGCGGCGATGTACCAGGACGGGCGGGAGATCTTGTTGATGACCATGTTGGAGGGGATCTGCATGAGAATGTAGCCGACGTACAGAATACTCAGGCAGGTGGCGTATTCGTTGTTGTCCAGCTGCAGGTCATCTTGCAGACCGCGGAGACGGGCAGCGGCGATGTTGTTTCTGTCGAGGTAGTCTGAGGGTATGCCACGTTAGTTTACAAGTCCGCGATCAAGTGAGATGAGGTCTCGGTTAGTGAAACATACTCATGATGTAGATGAGCACAAACAGAGAGCATCGCATGTCAAGCTTGCGCTTCATGCTCTTCTCGACTGCCGCGCGACGCTCGGGACTCATAGCCCGGGGCGCGTTGGGGTCGGTGTAGTTGTTCTCGACATTATCGACATCGGCGCCCTTGAAGTCGGCGCCTTGGGTGATCTTGTCGTTCTGAGTCGAGTCCATCTTTGCGACTGTCCTGTCGGATCTCTACACAACTAGGGGAGAGTGCGTTGAGGAAAGAGGATGGGAGACAGAACAAGGAATCAAGAGGTCGTCTGGATTGACTCGAGATTGACTCGGGAAGGAGGACGATGGGAAAGCTATTAGTTATAAAGCGGCGGCAGGCTTCGGGCAAGTCCCGATCGTCGCGGGGAAACACTTAACCACTGCCCCTCAACAACGTTTTTATGTGGGGTGAAACCTGCTTCACCCATCACAGCAAAAGTACACGCGCGTAAGAGGTAAGAATTTCGGAAAATGGGCCGGGATCTGGTACGAGTCCCCAATCCCCAGTTCGGTCTGGTTGCAGTCCAGATTCTCGGCCCAGCGTCGCGGCATGCGGCCGCTTGGAATGAACGCGATAGCTGCTGCATTGGACATGGAGCTTCTTCGGCCGCACCAGGATGACGTGGGGAGGGATAAGACCATCCGTGGGGAAGTTCAGGTCGGGGTTAACGGCGAAGTGAGTGACTTGGACTCTTGGAGTGGTTGAGGTTGACAACTCGAAAACCCCGAATAGAGAGAGCGCGCGCGTTACACGGAGCTCGTTCTCGCCTCCATCCGCGGGGAACGTCACCTTGCATCCCGGGGGCAACGAACCCGTCGAACCAGCTTCCAATTGCCCCGTTGCCCCCAATGGCTCGGGATTTGACGGTCAGCTGGAGTTCTGGAGGGCCCCGAAGTGGAATCTTTGGGATAATAGCGCTCCCCCAACTTTTTCTTGCCTGTACTCCAGTCCCCAGCTTCACCCCAAGGGGGAATCCCACAGTTTTCTTCTCTTGGCTCTTGGCTTTAGTTGAAAGTGGGAGAAGACCAAAAGTCGCGCGAGTTTGGGGGTCAAATGTCTCTGATTCAAGGTAGGACCGAAGTTTCCACCGGATGGTCCCGCTAGCTAGCCACCAATTCGCGACAAGTGCCGGTTGAGATCCATCGCCTTGCGTCTGGCTGGCGTTGGAAAAGACTCAAGCGTGTCAAGCATCTTTCTCCGCGCGTGGTGGGACGGGGATTGGGGGAGGATGAGAGATACAAAGTGGGCAGCGTGGGGAAAGGTCCGAATGAACTCGTCCAATGGAGTCCTCACCGACTGAGCACGACCTGTCTTATTACGGTCAAGATTGTCGGCGCTCTACTCCTATTCCGGGATATGTGGCCGGCAAGGGTTGCGTTCGACCAACGATGGGGCGCGGAGTCTTGCGGAGTTTAAACAATAGTGACGTGAGCGAGCCCGTTTCGAAATGTTCGAAATCTCCTGCCTTTTCCGAGGTTTGCTGCCCAGATGCTGTTAAGACTTCGACACCCAGGCAAGACACCAGGGTAGAAGAGTAGGAAACCAAGCAATTACCAGCTCACGTGGCCGCAAATCTGGTCTGCATTCCTGAGGATGACGTTTCAGTGCCATTTCCTCTGACACCACAAAACGTGGTTCCCGACCGAGGACTTGGTCGAGATCCTCGTCGCAACGCTGAAGGCTGGCCTGGGCGCCTGGGGTAGCCTAAGTATTCCCCATGCACGTCAAAAGAAGATGTCGCCCAGAGACTTGGGACGAGGGTGGCGCTTTGTCAAGATTGAAGTTTCTTCCTTTCCCCAGTATATCCGTAAAGAATGTCTTGAAAGCCGTTCGCCGAGCTTGGCGTCCTTGGCCCGAACGCGAACTCATCACGAATTTGTCTCCTCGATTATAAATCTTTTCCGCTTCTCCGAACAAGAAGTATCCGTAGATGCTTGGGTAGGCTTGTTCGAGGCTGCAAGCCTACTGGTTGTGTCGGCCCCCTTCTTTATGTTTCTGCTGCTCGCTCTGTATCTGGTTGGTGGCTTGAAAACCCGCATCAGCCTAGACAAGGAACCTTGATTCAACGCGCCGGGCACAATGCCTCTAGTCCGACCAGAACTCCGAATAGCATCTGTCGTACTCTTGATGCGATAAAAAATGTCCGTTGCATCCGTTCACTAATAGTCACCTGCAAGAGAGTTGTTCATTAGCTTCCATGAGGCATTAGACTCAGCCCTCAAAGATGAAATGCTGCACCCAGATAGAGTACCAAGTATGTGCCATCTGAATTGAGTGCAGATCTGTCTTTGTAGCTCTAAATAGTCTGTCTAAGATGGAGAGACTGGCTCAATATCAAGGGCATGTCCAAAGCCCTGGCCAATAGGTAATTACTGGGGCTGGAATTCGACATAGTCTCGGTTTAAGTTACCTAGCAAAGTCCATCCGCTCATAGACGCGCTGAAAAGACTCCAACTTGGGCCCATTCATCTCTATGGGTCGAAAGCTCAAGGCTGCATCAGAAAGGCTGTCTATGCCGTTCCCAGCTCCTCCCAAGACCTCCCATTTTCGTTGGGGCTTGCCAGTTTCGCTGTGTGCCCGGGATGCTTGATTTGATGATGCCTGCTTCTGGTGCCTCTTGGTGCTATCGGCACAAGGGCCGTACTTTCGGCGTTGCTCCCGGAAGCCAAGCTTAATAATAACACTTTCCTTTTGAACTTCGCGTGTTCCTGCTTTCGTGATTCCGCTAGGAGCTAGACCCAATGCTCTTCTCAGTGTCATTCTGGCAGCTCCCGAATCATGAAGCTCGTCTTCCGCAATTCAGTGACTTTCAGCTCAGGATATCGTTGCGCCTGAATCGCCACTCATAAGCAACCTTTCAGCGGCTGCCTCATCATCCTCGTCCGAATCATCATCATCGTCATCCCCGCCCATCAAGTCGATAACCAGAACAGAACCCGAGCTAAGCGTGTCTAACTGGAAGCCAGCCTGCAAGACCTCCGGGGCATCAAAAATGCAACCGGCAACATCGAGGCTGATGTCAGCGTCCTTAAGCGCCAAGCAGACGAGTCGGAAGTGCTCGTGGTGCTGATCCGTAGCATCGTCTCCGTTCTTCTCGCCGTCAAAAATCAAGACCACATTGCGGTGGCTGAAGCAGAAGGTGTCGTTGACCTCGGGTCGAGTGACGTCTCTGAGAGCAGCCTCTAGCTTTGATGGTTCGGTCTGGGCATTGGCTGTGAGCCGTGTAAAGATGCTGCCGTTGAGGAGGGCTTTTGCTGTGCTGGGTTTGGATGGGGAGAAGATTGTGACGTTGGGCGGCAGCGCAGGTGCGGCAGGAGCCGAGGAAGATGCCTTTGGATCCATGGCGCCAGTTTTGAAGCTATTCCTGTGCAAAAGTGCCGTGCTGCAAGGTACTGACTGTGTTGTAGTGTGTTAGCCGTTGGCCGGTCTAAGAAACGAGGCAGCGACTGGGAGCGCCTGCAAAGTTTTCAGGGATGACTAATTTGATGTGCGGAGAACATGTGGGGTTCACCGGTGCCGAAGAATACCGGAGGCGGTCCGATGCGGGTCTAGGAAGGCCGGCGGTGCAATTGTATCGTTCATGGTCGTACATGCATCCTACGAATAAACGAATCAAATAAGACATCAGGTTTTCAGATGTCGCTAAGTCTGTGATTGTCTTAAAGTGCTCTCGTCGGAACATTCTTCGGACTCCGCCTTTCCGAGTCTAGGCGACCCTAAAGGGGAACATGAAGCATTCAACAGAGGTTACTGCTGCTTTCCCTTGTTGAGTTCTGCGTACTAACACGGTAATTTCAATAAATCCCTACGGAAGATTCAAGACTTTGGTGATTTGCCGTAAGAGAAGCAGCAATGAAACAAGGTGAGAATCATCACGTAGCACTTTCAAGGGTCTCGTAGAATTTAGCCTTGTTGCCCGCTTGACGAAGTTTTCTCACCATCCACCATGAACCTTTCTTGAATATGAGAATAGCGGGAATGCTATCTCACTGAGAAGTTGGGTGTGTAGTGATCGGCAGAATGATGCCAAAAGGGTGCTGAAAAGTCTGGGGTTTGACGATCAGGCCGATCGCGAAGTGTATGATTGGACTGTGCCGTACCGTGTGAACATGAGTTTTAGAAACTTCCCACCATTACCGCCCGACAAACGCTCACCCCGCGTCATCCAAAGTGGCGCAAGCTACTTTGAGCGACTCTCATGACAAGTCATGGCCTGAGGTGGTCATCTTTGGTTGCGAAAGTGATGAGGCGTGACGACGTTGGGTGACTTGATCCTCGGCCAGGGACAATACGGGACCAGGCAAAACATTTAGCAGGGGAAATGATGTTCATGATCATTGCTTCCGGGAACCTGAGATGAGGTAGATAACGTTGTGCTTTCGTCTGTTCCATCACACGAGCAGTGGCGGCCTTCACGGACTCAGAATCCTCAGTCTTCGAGGAGCATATAAACCCTCTAGATTTCTGTTGAAAACCTCGCACATCACCGAATCAAATTCCTCTGATATCAGACGGGAACAACCCCTCAAGTCCAATATCATCAAACGACTTAGTCGAATCGAAGAACCTACTACTAAGAACAATGGCCCCAAAGTTCGTTTCACCTAATTACCTAGTTTCATTGATAAGACTTGCACTGATAAAAGAAAGTCACAGCTCGAGCAGACGCTTTTCTTTCTCTCTTTCTCCTGCTTCCAAGGCAGCAAAGCGAGTTCTTTCTCAGCGGTCAAATAATCGACGCTCTTTCGACTCACAGGCAAGCTCATCGACGCTTGGCAATATGCCTGTCGTAGAGGTCGAAAATTACCTGACAGCACCGGCTGTCCGATGGTCAACTGCAAATCGGATTTGACTTGGATTGTCATGATTCAATATGTAAAAGTAGCTGTTGGATTGTCGCGAGAGCTGCAGGTAGTAGATACGGTGGCTAGCTTGGCCATGGCAGAACTCAATCTTGTTGGGTACCAAGGACTGCCAGGTAGGAATTGCCACATTCAAAGCCTCCACGTTGTTATTTAAATATTTACTTCCATTGAAGTATCGTATCACCACTTGCCCCAGATTCTCATCCACGTAATCCTGTATTGGAAACAATTGTCTCTAACCCCTCTTGCAACAGTCTTGGTGTCATTCAGTTCTAGTTCGTTCAGTGAATGTACCTAAACTCTTCAACGTAAGTTATATATACTTCTAATGCTGTATATCGACATGGTCAGCAATGAGGGCGACGATGTCGGTCGCGGAAGCATCTGGGCTGATGCAACCTAGGATATGCTGATCTGGTCTGACCAGAATTGCACCTCCCTCAGAAAAACCACCTTTCGTATCGTACAGTTTTTGGTGGCTGTCAGAAGTAAACTGGAAATCGACGTCCGCACCCCAAAGGATAAGGCGAGAACTCATTTTGTTCCCAAGGACCTCTTCGCAGTCCTCAAACCGTTGTTTCCAAGCTCCTCGACATGGTACAATGAGAGAGATTGTACCTGCACTCGCCAGGTCAAGTGTAGAATAGCGTTGAGCTTCGATTTGCTCATTCGATAGCTCTTTCACATACGACGTGTCGATGGGCTGATACGAAACTTCACTTTCATCATTCGGCTCGGTGAATTTGATCCAAGCATGTGGCAACCTGGCGCCAACCTGGAACTTTGGCGTAAAGTCCGACGCATTCGCAGGTGGCTTCGTGTCACCGTACACGTACCCAATGTGAATTTCAAGCTGAAGGGGATCATGTCAATGCCTATTTTTTTTAAAATCCAATCTGGTGGAGATGCACTTACGTTGTCAAAATGTTCACGTTGTCCCTCGACCTTCTCGGCAATCAAGTCCTGCTTGGCCGGGTCGTGGATGGCTTCATACATCCGTTTCCGGGCTTCGTCAAGGTCTTCAACATCTGCCGTCCCGATGGCCTTGAGGAAAGAAAAGATAGACTTCCCATTTTTGACACTCTGAGCTGCCGCGATGACGGCAATTGGTCGTCTATCAGTCTCATAAGTGTCGAGAATTCGTGGATTCGCCCAACCCTGGTGTACGGCGGCGACCTTGTAGGCAAGGTTGTGCGCGTCGGCCAGGCCAGAGTTGAGTCCCAGGCCACCAGTAGGAGGGAATGAATGTGCGGCATCGCCAACTCTGTAACGGTAAGTGTCAGCGCATTGTCATCGTGCAGGAAAATTCAGAGATGACACGCACAAGAACACGTTTCCACGACGGTATTCCTTTGCCACCTTGCGGCTTAATACCCATGGTCTAAAACTCTTGATCTGGATCGGTATCTTTTGTCCTATCGCAGCAGACACGGTGGCATGCGCGAGTCCTTCTGTCCATGTTTCCACCGGATGTCTTTTTGACTAGTCCAGCCAACGTCAGTAAACGAAGAGGCTAGCCTTCGGAATGAAAGATTTCTCCAACATACATCAAAATTGCTGATCAAAACCTGGTTTCCATCTATATCATATGCAATGATAAAACCAGAGCAAGCAGGGTCGGCGATCCAATGCAGCATGCCAACACCATTCTTTACGATTGGCCGGAGATTCGCATTAAAGTGAATGGTCATCATTGTCTCGTCTATATCCTCTTTGTAAGCTGAACTGCATGTCGCGAACAACAAGAAAACTTACATCCATCTTCCCCCTCAGTCTCAATCCCTAAAAAACGTCGGACTTGGCTTTTTGCTCCATCGCAGCCAACAACGTGCCTGGAGGTAACTGTCCAACGACGCTTCGTGGAACGCTCTTCAACGACGGTCAGCACTTTATCGCCTCGCTGTACGGCAGTCGTCAGTATCTCGCCTTTGGGGTTTCTAAAAGTTCCCGAAGCTTTCTCTACTTACCTGCTCACACGAAATGAAACCAACCCCTTTTCGAATCTCAACATTTGGGTCGTTTTCTAGATGTTTTGCAACAAATTTCTCAAAATCGGGTTGCGGGATGTTGTGGATCATCTTCAGTAATACACATGTTAGTAATTGACTTTGAGGTCGATGGGTGACGAAAATCCAATTACTTCCATACCTCAGGTGTACTCTCTAGGACACCAGCGTCCATCCGCTCATACGGAAGGACACCAATCTTCTCGCCCGTGAGGTTCGTCAAGAAATTGACCCAGTAGGCATCATTACGAGGTGACCCTAATTGACGTATCGCTCTTGTGTCAAGTCCATATTGTCTACATATTTCAAGGGTTCTCGGGCTCAATGCATGCGCTTTAGGTGCAGCCAGCCGTTCAGGATACTTCTCAATGAGAAGCGATTTCACTGTAAGCTGTTAGCGTTCTACCCCATCGAACTGGGAGAGCCCACAATTGCACAGGCCTACGTGCCAGTACTTACCACCATGTTTAGACAACATGTATGCTGTGAACAGACCAGTCGGACCACCGCCTGCGATGAGAACAGGTACCTCCACTGAAACATCTCCCACTTGAACATTGTCTGGTTTCGAATTACAAGATGAGAAGTCAACCTTGTAAGCGCCCTCTGGGCGTGATGGCTGGGCGATTTCAAGCATCATTCCCGCCGGCCAAACTGTTTATTATAAAAGACAGAACTACCTCTGCTGAAGAAACTGGGGAAGACGACAATACGGTCGTCTTTATTGCGGAAGACCGCCGATGGGATATGCTGGGAGGCTTCATCCCGAGGCGCAACGTTTTCCGACGGACGGCCTCCTATTCGCTGGAAGCGCTGGTCCCGAACGAGTCATTCCGATTCGTCCAATTTTCTGGGGTAAACGTCTGAGCGACATCGACGTTCATGACGCTTTGTGATCCTCTCACTGCTCAGAAACTTTGACCGAAGCTTCCTTGTCTCACAAACACCCCTCAAGGGCGAACCCCCTGCATGCCATGCCCCAGATGATCGTTCCGCTCAGCCCGCCGTACTAGTGAGCTGTAGCCTCATAGCCCCGAAGCCCCGCTCATGGTTCGCGTTTCTTTTTTTGTGCTTTCCTCTTTCAACGTTTACCAAAAGTTCCAAAACCTCTGCGCTTTTGCGATCTTATCAAAATGGAGACGGAGATCCCCACTGCAGCCTTTGGATCATCGGACAACCCGAACTCTGGTAACAATCTCAAGAGGAAGCGAAGGCCTCGTGCGCCGATAGCTTGTGGTACATGCCGGGCTCGTAAAGTCAAGGTCGGTCAAGCTCTGATGATGCCTTTAACGAACAGACATGTTGACCACATCCCCTTCAGTGTGATGGAAGTTCGCCATGCTCCAATTGTGTTCGTGAGTGTGTTGTCTTCCCCAGGTAGTTACTTTTGATGACTGACATGACCTCCCAAAGGACACGAATTCTCGTGCTCGTACAAAGAAGGACAGGAAGACCCGTATGTGAGAGGAAC